GACGACCGTGGCTACTATTCAGGGCCCCGCGGCCGACGACGACGGCGTGCGCGCGCGAAGAAAAAACGAATGTGTCCCGCATGGTATTATTTGACAGGGATGATGGCCCTGGCAGGTGCGCAACCGTTGTTGCAGAAGTTCGAAAAAGTTGCTCGCAAAAGCCCGTTTGACAGAAATGTTTAAAAAGTGTTGGGTTTCCTACGAATCCGCAAGAGCGCGCGGGATGAAATTTTGACATTTATTTATTGTTTTTATTTTTTTTTATAAATAAAAAAAATTGTGCTTTGATGTTTTTATGTTAAAATCGCTACGAAAACTAAGGTTTTGGAAGGATTTCGTCTTGCGCGCGCGAATGTCCACTTTGCCTTATTTTTTTGCAAAGGATTCCTGAAGTTTGGTTATGTTAGAACAAGACATGTCATTTTATATTGTTTTTTGACAGGGAAAGCGGGCGTCAACAAAACAACCGGATCCGGACTCCCCCGTTTTGCCTGAGACTTCCTCACGAAAATGATGAAAATGTGGCTGCGGCCTAGGCGCGGCGAGGGGGGCGTGCACCAGGGGGCCCAACAATAATTGTTCTTTAGAAGTAATAATATTCAACAACAGCAACAGCAACAGCAACAGCAACCACAACGACAACAACAGCCATCAGTTTAAGACTGTTCGCTCTTATCTGTTCGCGCGTACCTCCCCAAGTATATCCCAAACATCCGATGCCCGCCCTCTTCGTCTTCGATCGTACACCCTCTGGGGGGTACATCTTCCTGACCTGCCACGCGTGTTGCGCGCAGCCCCTAACAGAGGAAGACAAGAGGAGCGAGAAAGGAAAGAGAGAAAGAGAGCGAGAGAAACAGAGAAGGAGAGAGAGAGAGAACAAAAAAAACAAAAACAAAAAAAACAAAAAAAAGGAAGGAAGGGAGTGGGGGGGAAGGGAGGGAGGCAAGGGACAAGAGGGAGGGAGCAGAATTGCGGACGAGAGAAGCAACAATGAGGCCACTGAAGGGCAGCACCAGGGCCACGAAGGGCGGCAATGGGGCCACTGAGGGCGCGAGCGAGCGGGGGCCACGAAGGGCGATTACATGGGCCACCAAGGGCAGCAACGGGGCCACAATGGGCAGCGATGGGGGCCACTGAGGGCAGCAGCGGGGCAACGAAGGGCAGCAATGGGGCCCCTGAGGGCATTGACGGGACCACAGAGGGCAGCAAGGGGGCCACGAGGGGCTACGCTGGGGCCACGAAGGGCAGGCACGGGGCCACTGAGGGCGCAAGCGACTGGGGGTCACGAAGGACAGCACCTAGGCCACTGAGAGCAGCAGCGGGGCCACAATGGGCAGCGGGGGGGGGCACAAGGAGCTACGCTGGGGCCACGAAGGGCAGCAATGGGGCCACTGAGGGCACGAGCGACTGGGGGCCACCAAGGGCGAACATATGGGCCACAAAAGGCAACGAGGGGGCCACATTGGGCAGCGGGGGGGCGCACACGGGGTTACACTGGGGCCACGAAGGGCAGCAATGATGCCACTGAGAGCACGAACAACTGGGGGCCACCAAGGGCGTATATATGGGCCACAAAGGGCAGCGAGGGGGCCACTGAGGGGAGCAGTGGGGCCACGAAGGGCCGCAATGGGGCCACTGAGGGCACAAGCGACTGGGGGCCACGACGGGCGTATACATGGGCCACAAAGGGCATACGCCAGGGCAACGAAGGTCAGCAATGGGGCCACTGAGGGCACGAGCGACTGGGGGCCGGTGCCACGAAGGGCGAATATATGAGCCAGAAAGGGCAGCGAGGGGGCCACTGAGGGCAGCGGGGGGGGGAGGGCACACGGGGCTACACTGGGGCCACGAAGGGCAGCAATGGGGCCACTGAGGGCACGAGCGTCTGGGGGCCACCAAGGGCGCAAATATATGAGCCACAGAAGGCAAGGACGGGGCCACGAAGGGCAGCAATAGGGCCACTGAGGGCACGAGCGACTGGGGGCCACCAAGGGCGTATACTTGGGCCACTAAGGGGAAGCGAGGGGCCACTGAGGGCAGCATCAGGGCCACGAAGGGCAGCGACTGGGCCACAAGGGGAGGGGCCACGAAGGGCAGCGAGCGAGCATGGGGCACGAAGGGCATGACCCTAACGGGCGGGCCGAGCGGGCGGATCGATCGTGAGTTCTGCGTGATTAGCCAAGAAGTTTCCAGCGAGAGAGCGATTCCTACGTAAATTTGAAAAGTCCCCAGCGAACGCGCGATTCCTGAATGGCAAGAGCGCGGCGCCTGAGTAAATTGCGAGGAAGTCTCAGGCGGGAGCGCGATTCTGGAGTAAATTGTGAAGAAGTCTCAAGCGGAAGCGGGGGACCGGAGTAAATTCCGAGGAAAGATCAAGCGGAAGCCGTTGCTGCTGTAAACCGGGGGCCAGGGGCACTGTTTGAGCCTCAAGATTTTCCCTGATGAAAAACAGGGTGCGAGCGCCAGGAGGGGCACTTCAATTGAAAAATACAAGGTGCACCGGAGGAGGGGATCAACAGCAACTATTCTTCAGTAGTGGGAGTTCAACAACATCAACAATAACAACAACGACCCCAACAGCAATAACCCCAACAACAACAATAACAACAACAGCAGCAACAACAGACAACCACAACAGCAACAGCAACAACAACAACAACAACAACAACAACAATCACTTTACCCGAACGCTCAGTGTTCTCACCAGTGCCAGGGTTTTCATGCGACGCCAGCCAATACCCCCACTTTGTGGGGGGGCAGTGCAAGCTCTACCAAATATCCACACGACTCTTCGCCACCACCCACACCCAGCTTCCCGCCCTATGACGTTCGGACACTTCACTTCGTGGCCTGCGGACGACCGTGGCTACTACACTGGCGTGGAGTACACACCCACAGAAGTTGTTAAGCCTACGTTCGTACACCCACAGAAGTTGTTAAGCCTTGTTAACCCACAGAAGTTGTTAAGCCTTCCACAGAACATCTTGGGGCCTCTTGGGGGCTTATTGGGTCCTCACGGCGGGCTCTTGGGGCCTCTTGAAGGCCTCCTGGGGCAACCTATGGCGCAACCAGTAGGGGGACGTTTTATTCTCGGCGGCCGAGGGCGCAACCTATGGCGCAACCAATAGGGGGACGTTTTATTCTCGGCGGCCGAGGGCGCAACCTATGGCGCAACCGCAAGGGATTGTGGCCCCTGGCAGGCGCGCGAACCCCGTTGCAAGAGCGTGCGAAAGTAGCTCGCGCGAGCTCATGTAACATAAATGTTGGAAAACCATTGGTTTTTTTAGGATTCGGACAGCGCGCGCGGGTAGAAATTTTGAAAAGTCGTGCAGGTGTTTTTCGAGGACCTACGGTGCGATTCGTGTGATTTTATGATGCGCGGTGCTAAAATTCTTAAGAAGCCCAATGGTTTTTGGAGATTTCGGCGTGCGCGCGCGAAGAAAAAACGAATGTGTCCCGCATGGTATTATTTGACAGGGATGATGGCCCTGGCAGGTGCGCAACCGTTGTCGCAGAAGTTCGAAAAAGTTGCTCGCAAAAGCCCGTTTGACAGAAATGTTTAAAAAGTGTTGGGTTTCCTACGAATCCGCAAGAGCGCGCGGGATGAGATTTTGACAATTTTTTGTTGAAAAACCATTGGTTTTTTGATGTTTTTATGTTAAAATCGCTGCGAACACTAAGGTTTTGGAAGGATTTCGTCTTGCGCGCGCGAATGTCCACTTTACCTTATTTTTTGCAAGGGATTCTTGAAATTTGATTATATTAGAACAAGAAATGTCATTTTCTATTGTTTTTTGCAAGGGAAAGCGGATTACAACAAAACAACCGGATCCTGTACACACCCTCTTTTCTGAGGCTTCCTCACGAAAATGATGAAAATGTAGCTGCGGCCTAGGCGGCGCAGGGGGGGCGCGCACCAGGGGGCCCAACAATAATTATTCTTTAGAATAAATAATGTTCAACAACAACAACAACAACCTCAACATCCATAATAACAACTACAGCAACAGCAACAGCAACAACAGCAGCAGCAGCAGCAACAACAGCAGCAGCAGCAACAGCAATGGCAACAGCAGCAGCAACAGCAACAGCAACAGCAACAGCAACAGCAATGGCAATGGCAATGGCAGCAGCAACAACAACAAGTACAACAAGCAGAGTCCGCACCGCGGGACTCTCCAGCCACGCACCCAGGGACAGTAGATGACCGTTCGGGCCCCGCAGTCTGACATGGGATCTCTTCCCAGACAGGTCAGCTTGGAACAAGTCCCGATATCCAGGTCCTCTGCCGCGCGCCGCGAGGAGCCCACCTCGACCCCCTGTCCCGAAGCGTTCACAAAGAGGCCCCAGATTCGTTGAGCCCGTTGCACATCCCTTTCCACATGCCACCAGAAAAACTCGGGTCGGACGAACACTCGCCGCATGCAGCCCTGCCCGGCGCCTCCCGGCGCAGGAGGCGCCGGCGCATGGAGAAAGAAGCGCCCGGCGGAAGGGCCGAAACCGGCGGCACGCGGCAGGAGCTGCGCAGGCGCTCGACGTCTTCTCCATGCCCCTGCTCGCGCCCGGATTTCCGCGAGGGGCCCGAGCGGGGACAGGGGGGAGGTCCTGGCCTCCAAGGCCACGCTGTTCACCCCATGCCCCGCCGCACCTCGCGCCCGGTGGAGGCAGCAGCAGGGGCATGGATCGAACGTCGATCGCCGAGTTCGCACCACCCTCTTCCTCTGAAGGGGTCCAAGTGATATACGGTATGTCCGTTTCTCAGCTTGAGTAAGATATGGCAATGGTAACAATAATCGTCACGGCATGCATATCCCAGAGCTACCCGATCAGCCCTCCTCGCCGCCGCGTCGAGCTCCCTCGAGACTCGACCCAGGCGACCTCCGGGTTGCCCCAGCGAAGCTGAAATGAAAACTCGCACGCCTCGCCACATGCAACCTCAAAGAAACATGCCTGCGTACGTCAAAACAAAGTCGCCTGCCACGGGCGACATCTAACGAAAGTCACGCCTGCACCTCTTCTCTGCCCTCGGGCTCGCAAGCTGGGTCAGGCTCAAGCAAGTTGCCTGCGACCGCGAGAGAGAGGTCAGACTTGCCCGCAGCCACGAGAAATCCCAGCAGTCCCAGCATCTCATCCAGCTCCTTTTGCGCCAGATGCTTCGTGCCGAGATCTGCCACATTGACTTTACCGAGCGTCTTGGAAAGGATGACTCGACGCTCGGTTACATGACGCTGGAGCCAGAGAGTCTTTGTCTCGATGTGTCGGACGCGCCCTGCCCCTCGGCGGTGCGCGATCCCACTGGCGGCCGTAGCGTCCGTAGCGTCGCCAGCCAAACATAGCTCCAGCTCGTATCCCATGTCACGCGCCAACGAGACCAAGCCGACCCCGCAGGACGCAGTGCGCACTAAAGAGTACCACTCGGCCTCACCCGAGCTGAGAGCCTCACTGCCTTGGGTCGCACTGAAGACCCGAATCATGTGATCTCCCAGCTGGGAGACTCCGCAGCTCGTACTCTTCCTGGTCTCCAGGCAGCCGGCGAAGTCGCTGTCCGAGGAGCCCATGAGCACACCTGACCATCGCTGGCGTCGGAACCTCTGAATCAGCCTAGGACGGCCCAGGAGATACCTGGCAATCCTCTTGACTAGCTCCACGCCGTGCTCACACGGCTCGTGCATGCACTTCGCTGCCCCCTTGTCCGCGTACTTGATGTCCGGGCGGTCCTCGCTGAGATAGCTGGCTCGCATGACTAGGCCGCGGTAGCGAGTCGCCTCCTCGCCCTCCAGGACCCTGCCACGGTCCACGCTCTTGGCCTTTACTCCTGGCGTCGAGAGGGCCTTTGACCCGCGCCAGAGGTTCAGCTGCTGCGCCATGATGAACGCGTGGCGGGAGTCAGCCTCGAGCTCCACATCACCTCTCGAGGTCCAGCGAAAGACGCGGTTCAGGCAGACCACCTCCTGAACATCACCAGCACTCTTGCTGGGTCCCAACATGCCCTCGAGCTTGACCCACATGTACTTCTGCAGCTCGCGGTAGAACTCCAGGTTGTCGGCGCGGGAGCCCTTCAACACGAAGTTGTCGCCGTAGACGTAGGCCACGAGCTTGCCGTCGCCTCTGCGGTAGATGCAGGGGCACCACACGCCACAGGAGAAGCCCATCTTGCCCTCCAGCGTCTCACGGACCAACAGCTCGAAGTTCTGGCCCGCGTCACGGCAACCGTAGAGGCATCTGACCAGCAGCCCACACACGCTGGGGTCAGCTGAGCGAGGGTCCTCCGCGGGAAGCTTCACCCACAGCTTCCGCTTCATCTCGCAGTGCGGGTGAGCTCTAGTGATGTCCAGGAACATGAGGACGCGCTGGTCCTCATCAGCGTTCCTGGGCGAGCAGCAGAAGGAAATCAACATCCTGAGAGCCTCATACGGGGGTGTCGCACTGAACGTCTGCGAGGGGCCCCCCAGGTCCATGCTCGTGCAGTAGCGTGTCTCCGCCACGCACAGCCTCCAGCGGACGTTGGGCTTGCGGTCGTCAACCTTGTCGACGTCCACCCAGATCATGGGCACCGGGTCGCGCCCGGTCTCCTCGCGGCAGCGCTGCTTGGTGTCGTACACGTAGGCGCCCAGGCCGCGGAGGAACTCCATCTCCTCCTTGCGGCCAGCTGCCACGAGCTCGGGGTCCAGAGCGGCCCCGCTGATGTTGCCGACGATCTCCGTGTAGTACTCGGGGTAGGAGTCCCAGATCGGTGGCTCGCCCAGGTGCGGCCCGGCCTCCAGCGCACCCAGCTGGCCGCGGGCGATCGCCTCACGACGCAGCCGCGCAGCACCGCAGCTACAAGCTTCGGTGGGTACCGCTCGATGATGCGCATGCCACGCCGACCTAGGCCGACCGTCTGGCAATGCCTAGCACACCCAGGACACCGACGCGTCAGCTCTCGGGCTATCTCAGCGGAGTTGGTCAACCATCCCGCGAGCTTCTTGACCAGCGCCGGGCCGACAGCATCGGTGCACCACAACCCATACGCACATTGATCGCACTCTACGTAGTGTACTCCTGGCATCTCGGCGATCTCTCGGATCATCCAGAGACGCCAACTCCTCGATGATACTGGCTGCTCGTGCAAGAAGAGGCGGCCAGCCTTGATCTGCTCTTTGTAGCGCTCGGCACAGCAGACCAGGTGGACAACGCCTCGCTCCATGATGGCGTTGACGTCCACACCCTGGATGACGTTGAGGGCCTGCAGGTTCGACCACGGCGCACACATCGGGCTGCCAGTGATCAGCAGAGGTTGCTCCAGCTCGATGGTGGCCTGCGCCCGCTGCCTGTCGCCCTCCTGGCTGAAGTCGTAGCCGGTCCTGATGTCGTAGGCTGTGCCGGGCTCGAGGTCGAACGCACTCGACCGAGATGTGAACCGTCCTGGTCCGTAGAGCTCGCTGACGGCCAGCCTCCAGTCGCCGAAAGCCGCCAGCAGCGCGCAGAGCTCTAGGGAGTCCGCGTCCATGGGGCCCCCAGCTCCAGGCGGCGCCTGGAGGAGCCCGCTCGGCCCTGCAGCCTGCGCCTGAGGCGTGGCTGGCGCCTGCGCGGGCGTCAACGGCTGCTCGCAGCTGATCGCTGGCGCGAGGGGTGCTGGACCGCCTGGCACCGCGAGGCGGCGCCTCGATGCCTGCGGCAACTCCGCGGGCGAGCCTCGACGCCCAGCAGCTCGTCGGCCAGGTCGCTCGATCTCCATCGGCGCCTCAGCCGGGCTGGCTGCTTGAGCCAGTGCCTCAGAGCTCGCGCCCTCCGGGCGCGCAGGCGCCCTGTCAGCAGCCTCCAGCTGGCGAGCCGCCGCTCCAAAGACTCGGGGGGCAAGCTCCGGGTCGTTCGCCATGGCCTGCTGGATGCGCTCACGGCACTCCGAGCTGTGGGCCTTGGGCCTTGGCTGATGCGTCGGTGCGGGCCGCGAGGCAACCCGGGCACCCGTCTGTGAAGCCGTACTTGGCCAGCTCCACGTTCCTGCGAATGTATACGTTCCGAGGTTCAGCTGGAACCCGCTCTGGCACAACCCTCGGCTGCTGCGCAGCTGGGTCGACAGGGGGCTCGTCAATGACCGTCGGGATGCGAACGTTCTCCGGCGTGTCCGGGGTCGGCATCCATGGCGCGCCCCTGATCGAAAGCAACGGGGCTGCATCAGCCCGCTGACTCGGCGGCCTCCTCCTGATAGACCGCGCACGTACGACCCTGCCGTCGTAGCCGACGAGCATCTCGCTCGATTTCTCGATGACGCCCAGGAAGACTCCGATCTCCCAGCGCTCCTCGAACTTGGCGTCGCGCCTCGCACTCGGGGGGAACACGATGATCTCACCGAAATGCGGCGGCACCTTACGGAAGGCCTTGCCCTTGTGCCTCTCGCGCGGCGTCCGTCCATCGGCGCCGATCTCGCCACGATTGATACACCCCGCAGCGTGAGCAACCAGCCAAGTCAGCACTGGATGGTCGTTCGGGATGTCAGTGCCGCGCAGCAGGGACAGGGCGACTCGCAGAGACCGTGGCACGCCCTTGACCTCCCTCACTGCTACCTCTGCCGGCGCCTCCTCGGGCACGACCTCGAACTTCAAATTCCCGAGGCGGATCGTCGCCTCTCGCTTGAGCGCCACCAAGGCACGCACGCCATCGGACTTGTAGATGATCTTCGGGTGGCCAGTCGCCTCCACCTGGCAGAAGGCGCGGACCACGTTGTACTCATGCTGGATGCCCTTGGACGGGAGGACGTCGGCGCTGACCCGCGAGGTGGCTGAGTCGATGCCGACGAGGATGGGGAGCACGGACTGGCCCGATTCCACCTCCTCCCGCTTCACGAGGTATCCGTAGTCAACTGCAAACGTAGGTGCGGCACGCGCTCCCCCAGGAGCGTCCGCTGGGTGACCATCGGCGCGGCCACGCCCAGCCAAGCAGCAGTAGCACCAGTCTCTGAAGGGTACGTGACCTGCTGCTTCGCGTTGCTCGATCTCAGCCTGGGTAGGCTCCTTTGGCCCCCGTCGTGCTCGCACTGGAGCGGGCTGAGATTCGTGGCGCTCCTCGGCGTCACCCTCGAGCTCGATTGTACTTCCAACTCCCTCGTCCCCTGCCACGGCAGCTCCACCTGGCGGGACAGGGCCACCTGCGGCTGCGCCGAGGTGACTCTCGACGGTCGCAACTTGCCCATCATCAACTCCATGAGGTACCACTCCTGTCTCAGAAGCGACGCCACGCAGCGCAGGAGGTCCCACTGCTGGCGCCATCATGGCTGTTTTACGGCAGCGCCTGCCGCCCGAAAGGGCACACACGCTTATTATCCCGTGGCTTGCTGCAGCCACGGCAACCCTCGACCGAGCAGAGCGGCAGCTCCCTCACGCAGGGTCTGGGACATCTGGCTCACCTCCTTCGCTGGCACGATGCCCACGTCCAGGTCCCAGGTGCGCTGCCTCCGCGTGAAGCGGACGGTCTTGCCACTCTCGGTGTGGACAGCGTGGCTGATGTCGTTCCCGTGCTGGCCCTGCTCGAAGACCACGCGGTGGCCGCTCTTCACGAGGTCGAAGACCGAGAGCAGCGGCCGCCTGACGCCCGCGACACGGGCCCTGATACCCCGTAACGCACCACTAGTCTGCACCATGAGCTTGCGCTGGCCCTCGTCTGGGATCGGCTCGCCCGTCGCACTGAGGTACTGCGCTCCCGACGGCCTCTCCGCGATCGGGTAGTCGGTCCCCAGCGCGCGCGGGATCGCCGTGACCGCCGCGCCTGAGTCGACCCCGAAGCGCACCGTCTCACAGCTCGAGGACATGGCCGACAGGTCGAGCGCCGCCAGGAAGAGGCCACCCAAGCCCTCAGGAGGCCCAGGCTCGCCCATCTCGCCCAGGGCGCCAGACTTCTTGGCGACCGGGCAGTCCTTGACCAGATGCGCTGTCGAACCACAAGTCCAGCATGGCTTCGGCTTCGGTCCGTCACCACCCTTGGCTTCACCCTTGCCTTTGCCACGACCTCGACCTCCACCGCCCTTCGGCGGTGCCTTGCCTGACGCGGCCGTCGTATTCCACCAGCAGTCTCGCTTCCAGTGACCTGTCTTGCCACAGATCGGGCACGGCATGGTGGGCAGGTCGTCGGAGCCCTTGCCTTCGCCGGCCTTGCCGCTCCTGCCCTTGCCGTTGCCGCCCTTGCCGTTCTTGCCACCCTTGAAGCCGAGACCTGCCAGCTGCCACGCCAGGGAGTCGATGTCCACCGGGGTCGGGTCAGTGCCAGTACTCGCCGTCGTCGCAATCTGGGCCCGCCTGAGGTTCTCGACCTCGGCCTTCACGAGCTCCCAGGTGTTCAGCCGCTGGCTGTTGAGGAGCAGGTGGTTGCGCAGCGGGCCCTCCTTGAGCGAGCGGACCAGGATGCCTATCTGGATCTCATCGGGAAACTCTGCACCCACAGCCTGCTCGTAGCGCTTGACATTCCTGTCGAACGCAATCAGCTTCGAGGGGACGTCACCTTCGAAATCCGACGAGAGCAGCTCCTGAAGGAGCCCTGCTGCCCGGGTGCGGCTCTGAGGCTCGTGGAAGGTGACCAGTGTTCTCCACGCCTCCAGCCCCTCGTTCACTCCTGCACTGACAATGCGGTCTAACGAGAGCCCTTTGTTCAGCATGACCAACATATAGTAGAGCTGGCTGCTAAGGCGCACCTGGTCGTCGGGCAGCGTCGCATTCAGCACTGGCGTGTCGGCATGCTCAGCCCTATCCATGGCGTCCTTCAGGGCTGGCTCGCACGCGCTGGCATAGGCTCGGAAAATCGTACTCCAGTCACGCCAGGTCCCAGGCTCGCCATTGAAGTCACTAAGCTTGCCGAGGACCCGTGTGTAAATCAATATGTTTGTCTCCTGCGGCGGGCCACCAGGCTGGGCTGCTCGCTGCTGCTGCTCTTGACCTCGGGCCTCCTGAGCCATAGCCTCTGCCGCCTGCACTCTGGCCTCGGCGGACTCCGCCTGGGCCGCCAGCCGCTGGATGACTTGCTGCTGCTGCTGCTGCTGCTGCGCCTGGGCGAGTGCCTGCTCGAGCTGCGCGAACCTGGCCTCGTCCATACTCGTCGTTGACCTCGCGGCCGCGAGCCTTGATGGCCTTGAGAGCCTCGCCCTCGCAGTGCCACCTGGCGCGGCGCAGCGCCAGTCGCAGCAGCTCCGTCACGATGATCGCCCAGCTCTCGAGCGGCGATCCGAGGACTAGCTTCCAACCAGTCTCGTCTGCGGCCTCTGCGGCCGTGCCAGCGTCCGTCACAGACGCTGCGGAGAAATGCGCAGCGGTATCAGAGGCAAGCCGACCAACCTTGCTCCGCGCTACCATGATATACGGTATGTCCGTTTCTCAGCTTGAGTAAGATATGGCAATGGTAACAACAAACGTCACGGCATGCATATCCGAGAGCTACCCGATCACCAAGGACACACACATAAATACACACACACACATAAAAATAGTCCCCATATTTTCCCCATATTTTCTGGGTTTTCGTCCTCCCCCCCACTTCCAATATTTTCCCATATTTTCTGGGGAATCGCCGATAAATTGTGTCTGTGTGTTTCTTTCCCTCCTGATCCTCAGCCCTCAGCCCCCCCCCTTCCGCCCGACCCGAAACTGCAGTCCTGCACCTGGGCCCAGGAGAGACGCACACGCACCCCGCCGGGAGGGCGGTGCGTACCGCTCCTTGGCCTGGGGCGGACCTTGCCAGAGTCGGCGCAGGTGCACAGCTGGGACGCACAAGGGCATGCTAGCACTATGCGCCCTCCTCGGAGCCCGTCCGAACCGAGCATATAGTACAAGCATGTGGCAGTGTAGTTATGTGCAGCATGTGTGAGAGTAAGTGTAAGACAGGTTCCGCCCTATCAGCGCCTATTAGTGTTCATCAGTATCCCTATTAGCGCCGATTAGCACTTATTAACGCCTGCTAGCGCATATCAGCGCCTAGATGCGACCACAGTTCGGCAATCGTAGACGCTAGTAGCCGGGAGGCACAAAAACTCATGCTAAAAATGACTCTCACGCACAAGGCGCCTGAGTATGTCCTTTCCCGAGCGGTATGGCCAGAAAGTGCCCGCCACGGAGCTTGCACAAGAAGATTTCACAGCGCGAGCACTCTCGGGGGGGCCACGCACAGTCGTGGTACTCGTATGTTGGAGATGACGCCGATACAGCTGGCGTCCTAATGTCCCCCCTTAGTCCGACCCGACACGCGCCACCCAAGAGACCAAAAGTGTGGACGTCGGCCACGGGGCACGGGCCCGAGAGAACAGGCCTCGGTTGTCATCGCCGAGGCCGGATGTTTGTTTGCCAGGTCGGAGACGGCTGGTTCAGGTGGAGCAGTGATCGGGACGAGGAGGAGCGATAGGGAGGACGAGGGTGAGGACGAGGACGAGGACGGGGACGAGGGTAAGGACGAGGAGGAGGCGATAGGGAGTCGGGTGTAGACGGAGAAGGAGGGAGGAGGGAGGAAGAAGGAAGATGAGGGCAACAAGGAGGAGAAACAGGAGGAGAAAAGGGGAAAGGCGGAAGTGGCCAGCAAAGTAGTAGTGCTCCACACCCACGCCGTCTGGCCAGGGACAAACAAGCTCCAGATCTCAACGAACGGAGATGTCGCAAGCCAGCTCAAGGACCCAACGGCGCCAGAGAAAGGGAAAACTGATGTACGAGCACAGCGCAGCACTCGATCACATGGCAACGAGCCAACCGTGCCAACAATGACATTGATACGAACAACGCAAGCAAGAATTGAGCCGAAGGCCTGAACCCATCAATGCCTGATATGCGAGAAGTGGTAACAACAAAACCTTTTGGATCAGCATGCTGCAACGCCTCATACACGCATGCACCGCATTGTCATCGTTCACCGTGCACATCCTCCTGCATCGCTAATTATCTCCCTCGGCTCACTGATTCAGCAGGCAATACACTGTTTTCAACGCGGAATGATTTTTTCGGCGGGGAATACGACGAACTCGAATTATGACAACCAAATGGTCAACGCAGTCTTTTCTCCGTCGCTGCACCAAAGCAAAATGAGAAGACATTACAGACGATCAATCCCATCCCGCGCCTGGCTTGCCCCTGTTGGATGCAACTGTATGACAGCTGTGACTTCTACTCGCTGGCACGTCTGGCAATATCCCGATATTCCTCCTCTTCCTCCCGCTCCTACTCCACACCATCATCATCCCTATCACCACCATCATCATTATCATCATCAGCAGCATCGTCGCCATCACCATCATCATCAGCAGCAGCATCATCGCCATCATCATCATCAACAAAATCATAATCATCACCATCAGCATCAGCATCATCATCATCATCAGCATCATCATCAGCAGCAGCATCACCATCAACATAATTATCATCAGCAGCAGCATCATCATAATCATCATCAGCAGCAGCAGCATCATCAGCATCATCACCATCATCAGCAGTTTCATCATCAGGATCATCATAATCAACATCATCAACATCATCATCAGCATCATCATCATCATCACCAACATCATCACCATCCAGCCTGGGCTTACATGAAAGGCGTGCTTGCCAGGGCACCGCCCATGGCCTCAAACGGTTCGCCTCCCTGCGTGGCACCGCTCCTCTAGAGCCACCTGACCCGTGGCAAGCCTCCCGGGCTCCCGAGCAACAATCGGGCGCTTCACTCGGGGGCGCGCAAACATGGATTGCGATCCATGGATTTGGCGCGCGGTCGCCATATCCATGGATCGGGGGAGGTGCCCTCCCCAAAATGCGGCTGGTGCCGCCTCGCTCGGCGGCGGAACTCCGCGATTTCCCCTGGAAACGGGACCCGTCGCTAATCCACGCCCCCCTGATCCATGCTTGCGATCGCCTGACGGGAACGAGGCAACACACGCACTGGGCGAACACACATCCTGAGAATCATCGATACGGTAGGAGCTCGACCACAAGAAGCCTTCCGCAAGAGAACTTGGGATCCCAAAACCGTGTGGTGACAGACCGTGCGGTGACCTCGGAACCCCAAGAGACCTCACCGCACGGCCCGTCACCGCACGGCCTTGGGACCCTGGAGGCCCCTGTCGCCCGAGACGTCCTCGGAGAGGGACTCGAGTCCCAAGACCGTGCGGTGACCCCGAATCCCCACCGACCCACCACACGGTGTGGTCACCGCCCCGCTTGGGGCCCCCCCCGAGATTAGAAACCCGGCCCCGGAACCCTGGGACGCGCCTCGGTCTTCGGTGGGCACGCCCCGCCCCGTTGGAGCCGTGCCTGCCATCGCCCGGCGCTCGGCCCCCGGCAGGCCTCCCGGGCCTCCCAGCCGCAGCCCTGCACGGCGGGACGCCTCCCCCCCCCCCCCCGAGGCCGCCGAGGCCGCGCCGCGCGCCGAGGGGGCCGTGCGGCACCGTCGGGGGCCTCCGCCGCGTGAGGCAACCGGGGTCGGCAGGCGGCGTCCGGAGCGCCCCGCCGCCCGGCCGCTCAGGCTCCGTCCTGGCTGCCCTACCAAGACCACCCCAGCCTAGCCCGAAGGCCCGAATCTGACCCGACTGTCGGGTTGGGGAGGGCTGGGATGGGCTCCGGGTGTTTCTCAACGTTCCCCGACCCCCGCCCCCTACTGGAGACGGAGGGCAAACTGAGGCCTTGGGGTCGGGTTGGTGTGGTCTGGTGGGTGGCGACTTCCTTCACCTTGGAGAACCCCACCGACGAATCCAGCCAGCTCGAGCTCCGCAGGATAGCAGCAGCAGACAAGAGAGCGGAGACGAGGAGGACTTGTAGCACTGCGTTTTATGTTGCTTCCATCGCACTTGATGACCACAGCCCAGAAATGATTTCGAGCACCCGGAAAGTGTCGAAAGAGTGTCGAAGCAGTGTCGAAACAGTGTCGAGACAGCGTCTCCCAGGGCCCGACACGTGAAAATCTTCGAGTTTCGGTACTTGTTTTGGTGCTCGAGAATATTTCTGGCGATAAAGGCTAAAGTAGGATGGAACATCATAACACTACATTACCCTGGGTAAGTTCAAGAAGAGCGGGAGCTACTACAGAAGATGGGGTGAACTATCGGCACAGGCACAGCATTGTGCAAGGCAGAAAGGCCAACGGACGAAGACAACTATGCAGAGATGTGTCATTGCACCGGCCTTGCAGACGTGCTGCAGCGGATTTCTGCGTGGATTTCTGCGTGGATTGTTGCCCGAAGCGGCGAGCGAAAAACAAAGTTAATTTCAGGTGGATGTGTTTTAGCATTCATTCCTGGCCAAAAAAACGCACAAAATTCACCTCGAAATCTGGAACGAAATTCTACAGGACACCCTGGGCCCACCCTATCGTTTTCCAAACGAAATCCGCTCTGCGATGTGGGTGCCATGAGATGTGGGAACAGCGGTCCTACGGCGTGGGCAGGGGGACTTGCGCAGAGCTAGGAGCGCCGAGGATGGACGAGCTCCAGCACAAGTACAAGCACTGCCTCGACCAATTCCTCTACAATGCCGCGGCCGGCAGGTCATGCCGTTCAGATTGGCATCGCTCACAAGCCTTCCCAGCGGAGAAAAGCAACTCCCAACTCCAAGGACGGCATACTGGGCAAACGGATACTGCACGTCTACGACTCATTCGGAATGGCATGACACTCAGGGATACAGCAACGAGCCCCCCACCGACCACCCACCATGGGGACAGAGAGGCCTACCACACAGGTGCAGGGAAAACTCGATCCTATGCGTACAAGCTGCCCAGTGGAGGGCTGCACACGGAGGGGTCAGCACCATCACCACCAACTATGACGGCACCAACGCATTTGCAGCCACAAACAGAGCACTACTAAAAGCGGCTGCGTACAAAAATTCACACGAAAGCGACCAACTTTACGGCATGACTGCCATCGACCACTCCACCATGACACTCGAGGCGGCAGATGGCCCAGTAGAAGCGGAAAGCACAACTGGAGCACAAATGAGTTTTACGCTCTGCCCACGACAGTTTCACGACGCATACAACATCAACGTCAGCAAATGGTGGTCACAGGAGAGAACCGACCCAAACCAGACTATACACGACACATGCGACCCAGCGGGAGGCAAAACACACGGCATAAGCCTCAACACATTCATGGACGACATCAGTCACGTACAAACAATCCCAGACATGGCCACGGCACAAGAGATACAAATCAACAGAACCACCGACCGACTGGCCGACATTCTGAAAGAAGGAGGTTGGGGCCTTAACCACAGCAAGACGAACCACCCACTATACTAAGTGGGAAGGGGAAACTATGGTACTACCAGGGCCTCACGACGCAGCACCACACTGAGAGGGCTCGCCCTAAGAGAAATGAGGGTACTGGAGCCGTACCTACCAGCGGGACAGGGCATCACAGGCGAAATAGCCAGACGCATTAGTGCGATAAGACTGGCGTGGCGACAATGCGGTACCTTCTGGACATCCGATTCACCACGACAGATCAAACGACTCATATACATGGCTTTCGTCATAGACGCGGCCCTCAGCGGACTAACGGCATTCGTTACAACCATAGCACACACCAATGCGTTAGACAGTGTAGTAGACAGATACTCACGTACACTAGCAAGAGGGGCTATGGCTGGGAAACGGAGGACGGCACCACACGCTGTAACAACCTACGACAGGTATTCAGATACTGGAGGATGGAACGTTCAAGTATATCACTGACAGTACGACGACTAAAACTGTACCAGAGCTGGTCCCGCTACCCCAAGGAGCACAGCGCGATGCTCGCTGCAGTGTTTGGCTCCTCCCGACTAGACGTATCACGCAGGGTCAAGAGGCTTACGGAGATGCACTGGATAGGACCACAGTGTACTCCGTGGGTCCTAAAACTTGCAGCTGATATGCAGGCACTATTCGAGAGAGACGAGGGGATGGGATGGTACGCACAACAGGATTCTGATCTGGCCAGATTCGAGACAGGGAGCACAGAACAAAAACAATGGTTACAGACAGACCCCAGAAAAATGTACAGCTACGAACGAAACTGGGATACACTAACGAAAAGGGGGAGGAGGTCACTGGGATCACTGGGGAGAGGAGGAAGACTTACTACGGCCTTACTGGTGTAACTATGTTACGGTGGACACGGAGGGAGTGGAAACGACATGCGGACAGAGATACCAAACTTACGCGGCCATTGCAGGGCACCGACGGGAAGTACACAACATTAGACCAGCTATTGCAGCAGCAACAGTCAACATCCAGTGTCCGTGGTGTAAGAATACGTTTGTAGACCGAAAAACACGATCGACAACGCCACGAGATCGGTCTACAAACACGGGGTATGCCACCAGGACAGGTCCAAGTGGGCCCACCCCATCATAAAAGAACCTAGGACCCTAACAACATGTCGGACATGTACCCATCAGGCTCCAACCCTCGAGGAGTACCAGGCGCACACATGAATGCACCTCGCGGGCCCAGACCAGATCAGAGCGGCCAAAGGCGGAGCCGCACACAGCCTGAGAAGCCGAGGCCTGGACGATGGGGTGGCGGGTCAAGCGCCCGCCGCCGTCGGGAGCAGAAGAGCTACGCCAGGCGTCCCCGCCAGGAGCCCGAGGCGGAGGACGAGGTCGCGGACCCCCCGCGGAGGAGATGGAGGCCCAGGCGGGGGAGGAGAGGGAGTGCGAGCAGACCTACGAGACGGTGTTCGAGCACTGCAGCGGCCGGCCCCTCGGAACTCAGCCGAGGTCCGCAACCTCTCCCGCCTCACGAGCGAGCTCTGCCTCGCCCTCCTCGCGAAGAGCGGGTCCAGGGCCCCCTATCGAGACAGGCCGCGAGCACGGCAGGAAGGCGAAGGCCAAGGGCACACGACACGGATACGCACCTCCTCACGGCCGCGTCGCGGCGGCCGTCGTGGAGGGGATCGTAAAGGGGCGCTCAAGGCCAAGGTGCAGGACAACGACCAGCCACTGCAGCACGTGGCCGAGACCCTCACGGAGTTCGTGGAGCAGCCGGACCAGCCATGGGGACCAGCACTCGTGACGGAAGCCTCCCTGCAGCGCAAGATCCAGGAGGCGTGCAAGCCGTCGGCCGAGGAGATGGAGGCAGAGCAGCGCAGGGCCAAGGTCATGTACACGATCAGTACGTCGCCTTTCGTTCAGGCCGGCACTGTGCGAGCAGAGCCTGGACCAGGCCCAGTGCGAGAGGCTCCCAAGTTTCAATGGGGGACATGTTCAAGCAGGCATTGGGACCGGCGCTGGCGTTCTTGGGCGTCAAGAAGAGCAGCTCAGGGGGGCCGAAGACGGGCCTAGAGAGGGTCGTCGAGGCTCAGCTCAGCAGGCGCCGCGGCCAATGAGCCAGCCACTAGAGAAGCCCAGCAGCCCTCAGCCGACAGAAGTTGCGGGCCCCGCGAGCGCCGCCGCAGGATCCGCGGGACCAAGGCCATCCAGCGATTGGCCCCCTTCAGTCCCGCCGTACACCAGAGAGGAAAAACTCGCGATGCAGATCAGCAGCGGCATCGAGCGATATACGATACTACGAGAAAAAGCTTCACGACTTGGGGGGCACATGGCGGAAATACTACGCATGGCTACCATCGGGAACAACGTTCGAGGGAATCCAATCAGGCCATGGAACAACAATGAGAACAGGTTGGCCAAACACTATCTGCCAACCTACTCACATTCTTACGGTCTACCCCCCCCCCCACTTACTACCTTCTTCACTACTAGGCACATCGGCCTCAGGTGCAGGACCAAGGCAGACAGCTACTGAAATCAGGACCTCACGACAGCAAGATATGTACGAGTACGTGTAATGTGGACCTACCTACGTATATAATCCACCAACGAGAAGTCTGTGGACCGACATCGGTGCTCACCTACCCCACCCACCAGAGGGGACAATCAAGGGCCACTAAGGGGATTGCCAACTACGGGGCCTCAGGAGTCAAGGGATAAGCTGAACCAGGGCCGAACCAGGACATTAAGTACCAGGAGTTGGACCGACCAGGACGCCTAACCCTCTTCCTGATCCTCCGCCTTCTCCCACCACAACCGACACGACCACGGACCTACTCCCACTCTCTCCTACATCGATGTGTTCCCCCAGCTCAGGAAACAGCCAGGCATAGGCCAGGAGTGCCAGTCGACAGTTTCCGACTCCAACATGATCCAGGTCCGTCTCCTACTGCGGCCCTTTCGACTCGACCCGAGGTTTTCGGCATCCTCCCACGCGCGGGGCCAGTTGGAGCTACCGACACCTGCGCCCAGTCGGCATGGCGCAGCAGCGCAGCCCGATCGCATGGGCGGCAGCGGCCGCGGCGGCCCAGCCGACAACGCCCGTGCCAGAGGCGGCGATGGCGATGGAGCAGATGGCGATCCAGAAACCTGCGGAGCGGCGGCCCAGGCGATCAAGTTTTCGGGTCCATGCAGTACCGCCTGGAGACCTGCCACAAGACGCTGCGGAGCACCAGCGAGAAGTGCGACGACATCACCCAGCACAACCAGATGGTGCTCCACGGCCTCTACAAGCAGCAGGAGCGCACCACCATGAGCTTGTCGAGGATCGCCGCCAGCAAGAGCCCGAACCAGTACGAAGAGCTCGAGCGCACCCGCGTGACGGAGCGCTTGAAGCAGCAGCTGGACAAGAACAGCAGAGCCGTCGAGCACTGCCGCGGCGTTGAGAGTGTCCTCGGCAGCCAGAGCAGGGTCCACAAGGGCCCCTGCCCGTGGGAGCTGGACTACACGAGGCTCCAGATCGGCGAGCTCGAAGGCCACTACGCCAACTGGACGGAAATTGGCCAAGACTGGGGCTACATCGAGGTGGCGGTGGTCGACCAGACCAGTATCGACAGCTTGCAGGAGCCGCACAAGAGTGGCACGGAGCAGCGCCCGAAGTGCACGAACCCCAGCAAGTCGATCCAGGAGTGGACGCCGTACGTGAAAATGATGCCGTCGCAGTTGCAGCTCCAGCCCCCACCCCCGCCAGGCCTCCCGGCGGAGCCGAGTGCGCCGAGCCCGAGCGGGGACATACGCCTCCGCGACCCATCGGTCGCAGAGAAGGCGGGGTGGGGGCTGGGCTGCATGTCGTGAGCAGTGACAGCAGCAGCCCTACCTTTTTTTAGCCGAGCCCGAACTGCCATCGTCAGAAGCTCTTCCGTCCAGCATTATCCTGCCAATGAGGCTAACGAATGACGGGAACGGAGCCAACCAGCGGCAGGCGGGCTCCCATACAGCAGCAGCAGGCCATAGTTGTTTCCTCTCGCATCGTGCCGACGGCAGTGAGAGAGGTGGTGGGGGTGAGGAGAGGCAGGGAGGGGGGAGAGTGCTCTCAGCGGCCTTGGGCTCGCCCCAATCGGGGAACACCCAGGGCCGCCTGCGTCCGCCAGCCAGCCACCCGGGGCAGGGCCCCCCTGCTACGGCGCAGCTGCTGAGACAGCGCGCGCCAGGCAGCCCCCGACGGGCAGCAACGGGGGCCTGCATCTGTATGCTCTCCCAGGGGTCGCCCTACCTTTTTCCAGGCGTCGAGACTTAGACCCGCAAGGGCCTTCTCCCAAATTATCCTTGTCCTCCCCCTCCTCCCCTTCCTCCTCCTCTTCCTCCTCCTCCGCCTCCTCCTCTTCCTCCTCCTCCTCCTCCTCCTCCTCCTCCTCCTCTGGCAGCACACCTGGCGCCGCGGGCCGACGAGCGGGAAGGGGCGGGGCGGGCCTTCTCAGCAGGCTCGGAAGTCCCGAGGCTTTCTGGAAGTTTTCTGAACCTTCCCCCGAAGACACCAAAGAGACTTCTCGGGAGGTGCGAGGGCTTCCGAGAAGCCCCGCCGCCTTCTGAGAAGGCCTTCTTCTTCTCACTCCCCACCCCCTCGCTCGACGCCGACCACCGCCTGCGCCCCCCCCCCAGCCGCCCAAAACGACCCCCGTCCCGGCGGCGCGCACACAGGAGGGGCCGGCGGGGTGGGGGGGATCTCGAAGGAGGGCCCCTCGCAGAAGCGCACGGAGGCCTCCCAGAAGGCTCCCCTGGGGAGGCCAAGAGGTGACTTACCCATACCGCTGCTCCCTAGACCTCTCCCGGGTGCGTTCGGACCAGTTTCGAGGCGAAGCCAGCGGTGGCGACGAGGGCCTCCCAGGAGGCACACGAAGGGGAAAACGGGCCGAGGGTGGCGGTACGGTTATGGATACCATGACAATGGACACTCTAACCGTTCTATCGTTGAGTTATTAATGTCTTTCAGATGTCTTCCACATGTTCAAACAATGTTCGAAAGATGTTTATAAAACATGTCCCAGCATTTTCAGGAATGTGTTTGAAACATGCTTTGAACAAATGGAAATCATTTGGCAACGTGCTTCCTCTCCACTCATCGTCCTCCACCACGGTGCGGGTACCTCGTCCTCCTCCGACACCCAAAAATCCGAGGAGGCCCCCGCCCTGTTGCAAGCCCCCCGGTCGCGCCGACGCCCTCCTCCTCCTCCTCCTCCTCCTCCTCCTCCTCCTCCTCCTCCTCCTCCTCCTCCTCCTCCTCCTCCTCCTCCTCTCCTCCTCCTCCTCCTCCTCCTCCTCCCCCGGCGCCATCAAGGCCTGCGGCCTGGCCACCCGCGTCCACACCCCCGCCGCGCCGTCGCCTTCGTCGCGCCGCCCCCCCGTCACGCCCGTCGCCCTCGTGCGCGCCGTCGCCCGCGAGTCCTCCCCGCCCGAGAGGCCCGCGCCCCACGCGCGGCGGCCCCCCCCCAGCAGAGCGCGGCGAGGCTGCGTCGCCCAGGGGCGGCGGCGGAGGGAAGGAAATGGAGGGAACGAAGAAGGGCATAAACGTAAAAAGCTCGGAGGTCTGCGCGGGGTTCTCGGATCCGCGCTGGACCCCCCGGCCCTGGCGCGCGGAGCGCGCCAGGGGCGGCGCCGGAGGCGCCGCTAGGGGGTCCCGGCGCCGATCCGGGAAATCCGCGCGGACCTCCGAGTTTGTACGTTTATGTCATTGTTCGTTTCCCTAGGAAAGCGGGGACCAGGACCAAGACGTCGCGGGTTCCTGTGCATGCCGAGCTTGGTCATGGTCCACGTCGGCCGTCGCCGATTCGCGAGGATGGTGCGCACGAATTGGCGATGACCAAGGTCGGCGCCGACCCAGATCGGCACGACGCTACCGCGCGCATTCTTGGTCATGGTCCCCTGCTCTTTCCCCTCCAGGCGAGCTCGATCGTTCTCCCCGATCGCGCGCGGCGCGCAGCGAGCCGGCAATTCCTTGGCACACGGGAGGGCCGCCGACAAAACTCGCTCCGCTCTCTGGGCGGCGGGGGGGACTTCGAAGAGAAGCACTCGGCCGCGCGCGGGCGCCGCCGTGACTGCAGTCTCCCCGGAGGGATGAGGGGGAACCCGAGGGTCAGGTCGGGCATGTCCTCGTACAGGCGGACTTCGACAGAAAAATAAGCAAGAATGAAAAAGGCCTGCTGCATGAGAATAAGAGCACGAACAGAAAGCGTCACCAGACTATTGTTGGGCTGTTCTTGGATATACTTCCTGTAGAAGGGCATGCCCGATTTGACCGTAGGGGGGGACCGGCTCAGGGAAGGAAACATCGAACAGGAATCGGCGATACATCGCCGAAAGACTCGAGACAGGTTCCGACAGCGGGTCCGCACGGTCCTGAGCGAGGTGGGCTGATTATCGGGCCCCTGTCGGCGATCGATGGGCGATTGGGGGTCGATGCATCCCCCCTGGGGCAATCTCCCCCTAACGTTACCCCTGAAGACGGGGGGGGCGAGACCAGGCGGCGGCGCTGGCTGGGCGCCCGGGTGTTTCGCATGGTCGAAAAAGTTCAGCGAAGGTCGCTGGTGTGAGGTGCGCGCGTGCCGTCTTCGGGCAGCGCACCCGAGAGAGTCGGCGACTCCAAAGTTTGTGGTTTGCAAAGGGAATGGCTTGCAACACGCACCCTGTGGGGCGGGCGAGAACCTCGAGACAGAGTTCTCCGCCGCGCCCCGAGGAGGCCCGATGAGGGCACCCTGGTGCCCTCCAAGCCCCAACGACGCAGATCGCAAACCACCGCCCGGCTTGACCACACTCTTTGTAGCCGCCGAGAGAGTGAGCCTGGCGCTGCGTGATGTGGAACGCCCGCACGCGGCGAAAAGAGCTCAGGCTCCCGGGGCGGCGCGACGTCGGCGGCACCGCTGCCAGAAAACCGGCCTGGGGCCCGACAGCAGACGGCAGATGATCAGTCAGCATCGAGTCGGGAAATCGGATCGGATCGGAACGTGCGCCAAATCCTCCATCTTCCTTGGATCGAATCGGGTCGGATCGATCCCCTACGACATCCTCCACCGAATCGAAGGTGGAGGTTTGATCCCCTACGACATCCTCCCCATCGATTCGATCCCCTACGACATCCGCGTGGGCGCGTACTCGGGATCGAATCGGGTCGGCCTCGCTGGGATGCACAACAGCGCCATGCAAGCATCGGGCCGCATCGGATCGTCGGAGTGTCGAAATCGAATCGGATCGAGCTGGACGGAGTCGATATCGAATCGGATCGATCGAATCGACGTGGGCCCTGGGCAGATGACGTAAATCCGCCGACCCTGTCGGCGTGTGTGAGGGGGAGTCCTGGGTCGGATCCCAAGGGTGGTCCTGGTAGACGCTCTTTTCGGCGGCGGGCCTGGGGGGGAAATGAGGAGGAGAATGCCTTCTCAGAAGGCTCGAAAGTCCCCCGGCCTTCTAAGAAGTTTTCTGAGCCTTCCCCGAAGACACCAAACACTTCTCGAAGGCGCGAGCGCTTCCAAGCCCCACCACCTTCTGAGAAGGCCTTCTCCTTCTCACTTCCCCCCCTCGCTCGCCGCCAATATTTAGCCCTCAAAGCTCGCAATCGCTAGGTAAATCGAGCCAGGCTGTAAGCGAGTCGAGGCGAGACCATGCCTTCCCCTGACTGGGGGCGGGGAGGGGGGTCGAGGGTGGGTCCTGGCGGGAGAAGTCCGAGGGCGGGTTCCCAAGGGGGTCCTGGGTCAGATTGCGCTCACCCCATTTTCATTGGGTCATCTTCGGGCCAGTTCGGCCCTCTTTCGGCAACTTTCGATCCAAAACGCCCAAGGTGTCCCCAAGACACCCCAGGCCCAAAAGAGCCCCAAGCGTCCACGAGGGCCCAAGCAGCACCAAACAGTGATTGTCATATTGTTGTTCAATGATTTTAGCGTTTCGCCTTTCTGTCTTCCAACGCTCCAAGAGGGCCCAAGAGACCCCAAAGATCGCCCCAAGACGGCCCAAGAGGCCCCAAAGAGGGCCCCAAAGAGAGCCCCAAGATTGCCCAAGAGAGCCCCAAGCCAGACCGTGGGGCCGAAAGGGAGGCACAAGAGGGGGCACAAGAACTGACATGTCGAGCCCTCCACCCAAAGATGACCCCCGAGACCGCCAGCAGGCCCCCAAGAGCCCCCCAAGAGGCCCTCAGGAGCTCTTAACGAGGCCCCTTAGAGGTACCTCAAGAAACCCTTGTGTTTGCACATTCAACAGACCCCTGGTCCACGACCCAGGCACGGTGTCGGAATGGGGCGACGGCCACTAGGTCCGCCGCCTCCTATGCTTGCCACAAGGGTGACCGACGCGTTGGACTCTGAGCGTTGCAAAAAAAGGGGGATCTCAACCGATCGCACCAGCACCGCATAAGGACCCGTAAACTTCCCAGGTCGTCAGTCTTCCCGCTCCCAGACGGAGACGACGGATGAGAATGGCCTCCAAGATACTTCCAAGACGTTCAAGATGCCCCTAGAGAGCCCAAGAGGGCCACAAGATGTCCCCAAGACGGCCCAAGATGCAGCCCAGATTGCGTAAGATGGCCCCGGGGTGGCCCAAGACGGCCTGGAGGCCTCGAAGAGCCCTCCGAGAGATCCCCCAGAAGAGTCCGAAGAGATATTCCCTGCTCTCCTCCTCGCTCCCCCACGTGCTCCCCGAGGGGTCTCCACGACGGCCGGGAGAACACAGGATCTGATAGCCTGGCCGAGCTCTGGCCAGAGCGCTCGGCCACATAGGGAGCTCCCAAAAGTCAGGGAGCGGCAGTGCTTCGCCGCAGGCGTCCTCGAGAGAAGTGGCACGGTGGTCCCCAGACAGCCAGCTGCTCTAACTTTGCTCGATGCGCGGACCCCGGAAGTCCGCACCACTTCTCCAGAGCCGGTGTTCCGTCTGGAGTCGTTCTTTGACGCTCCCGAAGCCCGGCGAGGGCCCCCAGAGGCCGAAAACGGGCAAAAACCGCTTCCTCCAATTATCTTTTCTGGAGCGTCGGATCTCAGGGCCTGCCTCTTCTCCAGACTCGAGGTGCCCCTCAGGCCGCTCAGGAGGAGGAGGAGGAGGAGGAGGAGGAGGAGGAGGAGGAGGAGGAGGAGGAGGAGGAGGAGGAGGAGGAGGAGGGGGAGGGAGAGAGGAGGAGGGGGAGGAGGAGGAGGAGGGGAGAGGAGGAGGAGGAGGAGGTGTCCCTCGGGCCAGTCTGGGACCGTCGATGGCCCGGGCTTCGTGTGCGC